GTGCATGCCAACAGGCTTTGGCGTTATCACGGTCCAGGACATTTCAGTTGGGACGAAGTGGACAACAGAACAAATGACGCTGCTGAAGACGTGTCACCTGAAGAAGCCACCGTCGAAGAAGAAACTCTACTCAGTTTGGAGAAGGGAAACGGTGAAGCTCTTGATGAAGTTATTACCACTGATGCGACTGTTACCGATGATAGGACATTTACTGATGAAGCAGATGAACCCCACATGAAGCAGAAGCCAACAAGATGGAGACCAGTACGGAAGAAGATACGTCCCGTAAAATTAAGAGACTTTGTTGGATTGTAATTTTGTGATTGTAATTCTGTACATTTAATTAAGTTATTGTTAATTGTTATTGGTTGATTGTATGTGGCAATTGTTCGGGACGAACAATACTAAGGATGGGTCAGTGTGGCGTCAGCGAAGTCACGTGACTAGTGTCACGCCACCTATTTTCTAGAAATATCTTGTTCCTTCGTGATAGCCCTAGCATTTACTAGATATATGTTTGTCTGGTATATATATAAGACGCTCACAACGTGACGTGAATATGTGTGTGTAGGTAGTGAGTAATTGAACTGCAGTCAGAAAATATTGTTGAAGTTAACGTTCGTTGTTATAGAGCGACTTTTGAAAATAAGTGTATCGGTAAAGTTATATTTAGAAAGAATAAACCAGTTTTATTAAGAAAGGACTTGTGTCGCTAAAGTTTCGTGGGAACGAAGTTACGGAAAATTAACTAACGAACGGAGACGTAACAGTATGTAGTATTTCTTAATGTATCATATGTAGTATTTCTTAATGTATCGTATGTAGTATTTCTTAATGCATCTTAGGTAGTATTTCTTAATGTATCATATGTAGTATTTCTTAATGTATCGTATGTAGTATTTCTTAATGCATCTTAGGTAGTATTTCTTAATGTATCGTATGTAGTATTTCTTAATGTATCGTATGTAGTATTTCTTAATACTAGCAAATTATGTACATACTAGTAAGTTATGTACATGGTAGCACGTTATATACATGGTAGCAAATTATATACACACTAGTAAATTATATACATGCTAGCAGATTATATAGGTCCTACTAAATTATGTACATACCAGTAAATCATATACATAATAGTAAATTATGTATATGCTAAGAAGTTATATACATCGTAGAAATTATATACATATTAGTAACTTATGTAGATACCAGTATATTATGTACATACTATTAAATTTTATACATGCTAGCAGATTAATTACAAACTAGTAAATTATGTACATAATAGTAAATTATATACATACTAGTAAATTATGTACATAATAGTAAATTATGTACATAATAGTAAATTATGTACATAATAGTAAATTATATACATACTAGGAAATGCGCGTTGAAACAATTGAAGGTTAATTTTTTCTAAAAATATTGATGAGTTACTATAAAATGTCCACTGAACCCAATCCCTTGGATTACACCGTATATGCAGTATGATTGTCTGTTGGGCCGTTTACAACATTATTTTGTCATTCCATGTGTAATTTCATTAAAGATAGTTTCATTGTGTTAGTTCTTAGCTAAAGAATCTGAATGCAATGCATTGTTGGCAAAAATATTTAGGTTTTGATGCAATGGATGCATCCAGCACAACAGAGCACTCAGATTTGCCTTCTGGATACCTCGGTTCCTTGTCATTTAAGTGAGCACAAGAAAGAAAACTACCGAAGTGAGCACTTTTTGACAGTTGTAATGTCTGTAAGTAGTGTGAAAGGAGGAATATTCAATTCCAGTTACTCGGTGGGAGTACTGGGTGATGATGACATTATTATTTAATCGTCTACACAGAACCTGACCCTTCCTGATCCAGAACATGGACCAAATCCGGATGATGATGATGATCAACAGTACGGTAGAATATAATCATGCACCGAAATGACAAAAAAAAACACAACAACAATAAGTATATACTGAAACAACAATGATTACATACTCAAACAATAATAAATAGATACTCAAACAACAATGAGTACATACTCAAACAATAATAAATATATACTCAAAGAACAATAAGTATATGCTCAAACAATAATAAATATATACTCAAACAACGATACGTATATACTCAAACAGTAATAAATATATACTCAAACAACAATGTGTATATACTTAAACAATAATAAATATATACTCAAACAATAATAAGTATATACTCAAACAACAATAAGTATATACCCAACCAACAATAAGTATATACTGAAATAACAATAAGTATATACGGAAACAACAATAAATATATACTCAAACAACAATAAGTATATATTCAAACAACAATAGATATATACTGAAACAACAATAAGTATATACGGAAACAACAATAAATATATACTCAAACAACAATAAGTATATACTCAAACAACAATAGATATATACTGAAACAACAATAATATATACTCAAACAATAATAAGTATATACTGAAACAACAATAAATATATACTCAAACAACAATGAGTATATACTCAAACAATAATAAATATATACTCAAACAACAATAAATATATACTCAAACAACAATAAATATATACTGAAATAACAATAAGTATGTATACGGAAACAACAATGAATATATATACTCAAACAACAATAGATATATACTGAAATAACAATAAGTATATATGGAAACAACAATGAATATATACTCAAACATCTTCTTCTCTTTGTGCGTTTTTTTTACATTCATGCTTCTATCTTAGAAATACGTCTTTAATCAGTTTTGTGTTTTTCGTGAAATTCCCTCACAAAAAGAAAAATTTTTGGTCTGAATAAGTTTTTCTCAGATAACTCTTTAGCACATACGAATATTAGGTTGGATTAATGTTGATATGGATATGAAAATTCAGAAATTGCAAAAAATATTTTTTCTGTAATATAAGTAGTTAGGGGGACTGTTCATCGCCTAAAGGATGCCCCTCAGTGGGAGTGCCATGTGAGAGGAGATCAAAAGAGTTACATAACCATTACATAATATTCAAATTATGTTGACACCTGAGGGTTACATAAATGTTAAGTAATATGCAATTGATGCCAACAACTAGGTGACGAATTGAAGCTGTCATGCCACCATGACACTTGATGACAGATGTTGTCTGCTGCCAGAGAGTATGTGCTTTTAAAGTGGATGCTGTTGACGGCTTCATTAAAGTTTTTAAAATTATGTAACTATAAAACGTTGACTTTTAATTATTTATTAAATTTTGAATAATACAGAAGTGCCAATCATTCATATTCATACCATAGATATTATTACATTGTGCTATAGGTCAGTGTTTCATAAGCTAAGATGTTTTCATAAATAATATATTAGTATATCTTGAAGTTTTGTTTATATATGTTTCAGTATGTGTGATATTTATTAAGTCTGTTATTTTACTTACATTTATTAATGATAGAATATTGGACTATGATGAAACACGAGTTTTATATAAGAAATATCAATGGAGGCTTGTATTAGTTATTCAAACATAATTGTTAGAAACTGTTATTCATGAGGTGTAATTTATCATAAAAGACTAAGCTAAACATGTGATTATCTGAAATTTGATCCTTAGTCTGAACACTGACATGTAACTGATGAATTGCATAACGCTGAGGTGAAAAGATAAATTATGTATGGAAAATATCTGTTTTGGCATGTAAAAATAGTCGATAAACCAGTTATTCTGAGCCTACTAACTGAAAACGTAAATGAATGGATGGCAACTGCCTGTTGTAGAATACAAGTGTAGAGGACGATGTTTCGAAAGTCTTCCACCTACAGTGCAATACAATACGTGGCAGGAATTTTGGTATGAGATCTTTCATGGAAACAGAAGGAACAAAACCTCCTACCGTTTCTTAACATGCTCATCAGTAGACAAGAGAGAAAAATCACCACAACTGTATACAGAAAACCCACCCACACAAACAGATACCTACACTTACAGTCCTATCATCCAACCTCGATAAAACGTGGTATAATCCAATGCCTAAACAAGAGAGCAGAAAACATTTGCGATAAGATATCCATTGAAACAGAATGCCAAAAGATCATAGAGGGTTTTAACCAGAATGGTGACATCTCCTCCTTCGTCAAAAACTCCCTGAAGAAGACCACAACAGAAAGAAAATATAAGGAAAACACTACTACCTTTTATCTTCTATACCTGCAAAATTTCAGTGAAAACTCAAATGCCTAGCTAAGAAATTCAACATAGACATTCAGTGGAAATTCTACAAGACATTAAGATCCATTCTGGTGAAAAACAAACATAAATCTACCAATGAGAAACACAAATACGTCATTTATGAAATTACGTATTCCTGCAATGGAACATACATTGGAGAAACGGAAATAAGACTCGTGACAAAAGTAAAAGAACATAAGAGCAGTACAAGACTCACGAAAACACAAAATTCAGCCATTGCAGAACACACCATGTAAACTGGACACAAACTGGGAAAAACTAGGATCATCAACACAGACCGATTTTGGAAGACAAGAAAAATTAAAGGATCATTATATTAACACAATAAAACCTTCACTAAACAGATATTTCGGATTAGAGAATTGCTGCAAATCTGACGAATAACTCTGAACCATAAACTGCACACAACTAGTTATTAATCTGAACTTCCAGGATCATTGTAAAATATCAAATCTATTAAGTACAACTACTTTAAACGTAAACTACTACAATAAATTATCAAATCTATTAAGTACAACTACTTTAAACGTAAACTACTACAATAAATTATCAAATCTATTAAGTACAACTACATTAAACACCAAGTATTACAATGAAGAGTCAAATCTAATAATTACAACTACTTTAAACGTAAACTACTACGATGAAGTATCAAATCTATTATGAATACGGACTTGCTAGTGTTAAAATAATTTGACAGTTATTCTTACGAATATTCTTACTATTCCGAAGTACAAATATGAAATCAAAACTCTTACCTTCAGTGCATCCGCTGCTAGACAGGCACTCGTGCCGTTCTTTAAAGAGAAGGCGACCCTCGGTGATTCAGGCGGGCACAGTTCGTCGGATGATAAAGACCGTCCATAATGGACTAGGTTGATACTGATGACGGTATCGGGGAAACATTCGATTCTCAGCTCATTCCCATCACATGCGTGGACTTGGAAAGTACGAAGTGTCCCTGATAATAAGGCTATAAAATAGTATAAACTGTAAGCATGTAGGAGTTCAGCCAGGTGGGTTCATAAGTGTAAAAACTGTAGACCAATAGCTGTTCAAATGAATTAAACACCTTAACAATATTATTCTGTTAAGGATAGTAAATTATAAACTACAAAATTTTGAGTATATAGTGGGATGATAACTACAATCAGATAGTGGAATGAAAAGAAACAACAAGGACTATAAGGTTGATAATTATAATCAGATAGTGGATGACAAGAAACCTGAAGGACTGTAAAGTTGATAATTATCATCAGTTAGTGGATGATAAGAAACCTGAAGGACAGTAAAGTTGATAATTATAATCAGTTAGTGGATGACAAGAAACCTGAAGGACTGTAAAGTTGATAACTATAATCAGACAGTGGAATGAAAAGAAACCTCAAGGACTGTAAAGTTGATAATTATAATCAGTTAGTGGATGACAAGAAACCTCAAGGATTGTAAATTTGATAACTATAATCAGGTAGTGGAATGACAAGAAACTTCAAGGACTGTAAAGTGTGTAACTATAATCAGATAGTGGAATGACAAGAAACCTCAAAGACTGTAAAGTTGATAATTATAATCAGATAGTTGAATGACAAGAAACCTGAAGGACTGTAAAGTGTGTAATTATAATCAGGTAGTGGAATGACAAGTAATCTGAAGGACTGTAATGTTGATAATTATCATCAGTTAGTGGATGACAAGAAACCTCAAGGACTGTAAAGTGTGTAACTATAATCAGATAGTGGAATGACAAGAAACCTGAAGGACTGTAAAGTGTGTAATTATAATCAGGTAGTGGAATGACAAGAAACTTCAAGGACTGTAAAGTGTGTAATTATAATCAGGTAGTGGAATGACAAGAAACCTGAAGGACTGTAAAGTTGATAATTATAATCAGATGGTGGAATGACAGGAAACCCCAAGGACTGTAAAGTGTGTAATTATAATCAGGTAGTGGAATGACAAGAAACCTCAAAGACTGTAAAGTGTGTAACGATAATCAGATAGTGGAATGACAGGAAACCTCAAGGACTGTAAAGTGTGTAATTATAATCAGGTAGTGGAATGACAAGAAACCTCAAAGACTGTAAAGTGTGTAA